ACAAGTATGATAGTAATAGTACACCATGGTGTTTATTTTAAAACTGACTTCCAATTCTATCTCTAATTCTATTCCTGACCCTAAATCGCTATTACTATCTATCACGGTTTCCCTTCCGAACACTCTATTTCAAACAGCCTTCGGGGTCCCAGAATTCTTAGGGTGAAAAATGGTGAAGGTTAATGAGAAAGGACTAAAGACTAAGGAAAGCACCACTAGATATTAATCAACTGTTCTTCTTTTGATTTTGATTTTTATGAAATGTTATTTGTTTATCTGTCTAGTCGTATGCGCAATCTTTTATTTTTTGATATATTTTTGTCAGAAAGAAATCACTGGCTAGCGCTAACTGTGTCTTTAGTACATAGTAATGAATGTTATGTATGAAAAATATTTATGTATGTGAATCATTTTCTTGTTGTGCAATAAAAATTTTACTTACTTACTTAACCGCATCGTAAACCGAATGCGCTAATCTTAAAAAGAGAAAAAATTTAATTGTTTTTTGCATCAAATTGCTTCCGAAACCACTGAACCGATTTTAAAAATTTTATGCTACGTCATACTAGGTTATTATTTACACGGCTTGTTAACAGTTATTTGTGTAGGTATATTTGTGGGGTAGGGGAGACCTAGGAGAGTTGTGACAATTTTTACATAAGGGGCTCTATCTCGCTTAAGAAACATTCCACAGTTATGACTCATGTGAATTAGTTTAGCGCCATTCCTTCTGTTTTCAAAACTATCACTAAAATTAATTAAAGTATAATAGTTTCTGAAAAAAATAACAAAATACAAGTTCACTCCCCTTGTCACAACTCTCCTACCACCGAGGTAAGTTGTGACAGGTACCGAGGTAAGTTGTGACATTATTGTATTTAAGCTATAAGATATAAAAATACCATTACATACGACATAAATAAATCAAGCACGTTTTTTTTATCAAATCAGTACTTTAATCAGTGCTATAATAATAAATTTGACTTGAAAAACACACACTGAACATGTTTGCAAAAAGTTGTCCCAGTATTCTTGTGCACTGTACAAACTTACTAGGATCGCGAATCAGTGCACGGTCCTTATAGCTTATCACGCGTACGTAGTTTCAACTGTTCGATACGGCATTATATTTTGGGGATATTCGACTGATTCTGTAACTGCCTTTAGAGCCCAGAAAAAATGTGTTAGGAGCATATGTCATTTACAGAGTACGGATACCTGTAGGCCATATTTTATTAAACTAAATATTATGACCCTGCCATCAATCTATATATTCGAAGTTGGTATTTTTGTCAAATAGAATCAACAACTATTTGAAAATAAGACGAGATTGCGTCATCGAGACAAATTGTGTACGATACCCTCTAAGACAGCTGTGTAGAACAAAAGTATCTTTTGTATAGCTCCAAAAATTTTTGATAAAATTCCAAAAACAATACGTAATCTGGATAATTGTAATGTTTTTAAAAGAAAACTTTGTAAATTATTAGTAGCTAAAGCATATTATAGTGTAAACGACTATTTAGCTGACAGTACTTTGTAAATGTATAAATACTTAATGAATTAATTGAATTTTTGACATAACATGTTATTGATTAGATTAGTTGACAATTACTAACCTACTAATATTGTATGCCTTTTAGGCAGATCACGGTGTAACTATTCAGTCCTTGCATCCAATATCTTTATAAAACCTGCGATCAACAATAAAGATTGATTTGATTTGACTTGATTAATCATCTTTTAATACCTACCAACTAAAACAACATAGTATTAATATTCTCATAACAAGTAATTATAATATTTTCATTAACTAAATATGGTATCGCTTTGAGATCAATCATATTATTGTTATAATTAGTATAAAATCTTAATCTAATCAGATTCAAAATTATGCCAAACGTAATGCAGCTCGTCCCCAGTACAATCTACGTGTGCCTAGCCTTTGCATTCAAGGCTTTGGACCCACTGATCATTCGATTTGCTGTCTGCATAGGCTTTAAGGCAAACCAAATAAAAGCAATTATTTTCTGCATCTTCTTCATCACTTGTTCTATTCTTCTTAATAGTCTTCTTTGGTGTTTTAGGTTTCTTTATTTTTTTCTTCGCTTAAGACACGCTTCTTAACATTCTTAGATTTTCAGTCTCTGTATAGTTATTTGGCATTCTCAAATAAAATAAGTATGCGGTATGCCATTATACGCCTTAAGTAGCTACTAACACAACAATAAACATCTAAAGTTAATAAAAAAAATTGTAAAAATAGCCAAGCAGAAATATGGAGTAAGATAGGAGAGTTGTGACAGGCTGTCACAACTCGCCTAGGTGTTCAAAATGACGTCTTGGTCCGAATAATAATTCATATTTTCTAAACACGATGCGCATACAAAAAATCAGTGCCACGTATTGAGACTTAAATAACTACATAACTTAAGAAAAAATAACACATCAATGCACATATACTAAGATATGATATATATTCAAATAATATTTTGAAGAAAAACTTACTTTTCGCAATTTTTTGTACACTGACGATATATTTATGCAACTGTGCCATATGCACCGTCGACAGGTACTGAGTCGTGTAGCGCGTGTCGAAAACGACAAACAAGCGTTAAAGCCACCTCGCTTACTATAATAGGTAGAGAGTAATCCTCCTTGTCACAACTCACCTCTGTCACAACTCACCTAGGTCTCCCCTATAGGCAGGTTGAAGGCAACACCGATCGGCGATAATTGAAACTGCTTTCTAGCTCTCTGTACTGCAAAGTCAGAGCTCTTTAAGAGCACGATCACATTTGTCTATCAAAGGAAGTAAAAGATTCAAACAATACTGCATATGTGTTACGATCAGCAGTTAGACGTGCTAAGTTATCTATAGGAGTTCTCTGATAGCTCAAGATGTTTTCCCTATCAATAAATGCTCCAGATTTAACTTGATATTGTACGAGCATCGCGATGGGCATTTGGGTTATATCACTTATAACCCAAACGCTGGCTTATAACGAGCAAATAAATATCACTTATACGAGTATACCTAATGTACGATAAAAATGGTAAGATACAAGAGCAGAGAGATAAGTGAAAAAAAAAAAATAGAAAAATAACTATCGTAAGGGCCGTTCATAGGGTGAATGACCAAAACATTATTATCTTGAGCTTTTCCGTGCTTCGGAGTGCAAGTTAAGCCATTGGTCCCAGCTGCATCAGCAGCTGTTAACACCAGCTGTTAACACCCACCAATTTACATTGGGCCCGCGTAGTTCATTATGGACCATTGATCCTAATTGATTCGATTCCGACTATAGGAAAGAAAGATGCGGGAAGTAGCGGCCACATATAATAATAATTATCAAATAGTATTTGCATTTAGATTTCCAATAATATCTCCTTATATTTATTTATACTTTATATCAATCAGCAATTATATCTAACAAGAATTGGGAAATCGCTGTCACTAGACTCATTCCTTGATATCACTAGAAATAATCAGGTGTATATAAAAGATTGAATGCCCGAAGCTGAGCGAGTGCTATATCTACGAGGAAACTATAAACCAGCAACTGAAGCCACAGCCAGACTGCATCTGCAATATCATCCAGGATCACTCCGTAGAAAAGCCATGTCAGAAAATCACCGTCAACCTAAAGATACCTGTTATGGAGAAATTAGACGATCGTCACTACACCATCTATGGGACCAACCTGTGCGTTCCATCTCAAAAATCTATAACTTTTTTGTTTTTTGATATTTTTAATTAAAATTTTGTGTACATATTGCTGAATAGATACACTATACGATAATCAAAACACTGTTAATTTTAAAACTATTTTTATTTAATAAAACAATTACAAACATAAAGATTGAAAATTTTCACACAAAGATGAAATAAATTATTAATATGAATTGTTTTCTTTCATTAAGTTAAACTTAAATGATAAACAAGTTAATGACTACGTAATTAATTTTATATATTAAGCATTAATCTACTCATCACTTGTCAATACTAAAAGCTCCTTAGCTTCGTTAAATAGTTCTTTTGGTATCATAGTACTTGATCTATTAAAGCTAGATATATAGGGATCAGAAGTATATAACAGTATGTGTGAAACATCTTCCATTGTAGCTGACCTGGAACACTTACGAGCGTGATATAACTGGTATTTCTTATAGTCTTTATTACGAGCCTCTTGAGCATCTTCAGATAATTGGCCTATTGGCAAAATTGCAAAATGCGCGATTATTTTGGCACCATGTATAAGAATTTTGTGGACTGAAGATGGCATATAGTACCAGTAGTATTTACTCACATATGACTGTGCAGTCCCAAGCATATATTCACCAAACTTTACAGCGTTTACAGAAAATCTCGATGACATGGTTTGCAGAATTATGTATAATCTCTTGATCAACCCTTCATCGATACCTGTGATTTCTGCAGAACACTGATAGTTTTGAAAGAATCTCCTTGCCGTATTTCCGTCATTGCTATTTCCAGAACCTTGACGAGGTTTATCAATGTGTAAACCAAGCAATCCCGAAAACGAGTTTGAACGTGCTTCTTTTTTTCTTCATTTATCTGTTTGTTCTCTGGAATCGATGCAGTCCACTTTTCAAATCCTAGGTTATAAAAAATATGCAGAATCATTTCCATACACCTTATCCACGCTTGTAAGATAGAGAGACCGTATTTAAATGCATCTGCCTTTTCAATTCTTGCAGTTACTTTTGTTAAATCGTTCATTTGTCTAGGAGTTGGTCCACAAACAGTGCATGAAGCACTCGATGAAGTCTGTGTTAACACTTGAGCGACTTTTCCGCCGATCATAGTCATGAAAAGCTCATGTCTTACTTCTATTACCTTCTATTGCTGCAGGCGTTCGCAGGCAATTTTTGCTTCGAGTTCACATACAACAGCAATAGTTTTTCAGAGTTTCTTTTGCTAATTCCAGAGAAATGGGTCTGTTATATCTAACTGAAGAACATGCAGGATTTGCCATATAACAACTTTACTTTCTTCATCCACTAGTTTCAATGGCACAAGTGAAACTATAAACATATTAGCATCCGATATTTGTTCATTTTCTTCAGGTAAAACTTGTTTATATTTACTTTGTCCCGAGAATCCATCGCAACTCCATTTGCTATATAGTTTAAGACGGGTGAAATTTTTGGAAACAGAGTCAATCTTTAAAATACGACAGACAGTGTGATCTAAGAGATCTTGAAGATTCACTTTGGCACTTACAAACGTTACGGTTATTAATCCTTCTTTGCTTCATCCAAAATCTGGTATGATGGAAATACAGAAAATAAGATTTTCTCAACAAATCTCTGCCTCAGGTAGGAATATTGAGCTTTAGATAGATCGGTTTCAATAAATATACACAATGCTTCTTCTTTGGTATAGAAAGGGACATCGTCTGAACTTCGTAAAATGTTTCTTAAAATTACTTTTTTCTCCTCCTTTTCTGTATTTCTCATAATACTCACAATCGAAGCTTCATCATTTTCACCCATAGATCGTAAACCTTGCACATAAGCGTAATGCACATGCCCCATTCCATACTCCTGAAGTAATTCCATGTTTTTACGTTTTCTTGTACTTTCCGAACACGCTTCATATGGTTTTGTTGGTCTACTACGATCTCCAGATGTATTTAAGTCAGAATTTTCAGATGTTGAGGTACTGCACGAAGGCAATAGTACTTTAAATTCCATTCAACATTCAACCAATTTATGTTTTGATTCTCAAAGCGATCTTGTTTTCTTTGAGCTTTCGCCCATTTTTGGTAACAAATCGTAATCAAATTCCTTTGTATACTTTGTATAACCGCATTCACTTCTGTCGTTTATAAATGGAAATTGTCCAACAGATATTTTTCAATATCTGAAGTACTTTTTCCGCTTATTATTTGAGCACATATATCGCGTCGAAAACAAACGAATTCACTCATTTTAAATTTTATTCAGCAAATTCGCAGTTACTGAAGGATGGTATCTGGACACTTTGATGAACATGACGAAAACTTATGTCTTTATAGGACCCTAGTTTTAGTGACTTGTGCAAAACTAATGAGAAAATTGATAAAAACCGTTCTCACACCCAAATTGATTATAATTACCACAATAGATAAGAACTACGCAAAACGTTTTGTATCATAGGTGTGGTTAAATTAATTACCGCAAAAAAAAATAGGTAAAAATATTTTTCGGCCGACATTTTTGCTTCTGGCTCAAAATAGCACAGTAATGACGCAGCTTTTTTTTATTTCCCTGTATTTCTAAATAGGTAAGGTATTTTAAAATGTCATTAACTCAACATCGGCAGCCATCGGTAACAATGAAATCTCAATTTGAAAATTAAAAAGATGGAAAATTTTCTTAGTCATTTAAAAATTTATTAAAAAAACAGAAAAAATATTTCTTATAAAAATATAATATACTTGTAAACAAGAGATCTTGGGCAATCCAAAAATGTATAATACTTATATTTTTGTTTGAAGAACATAGAAAATATCTCAAGTTGAACTTCCATAATGAGAAGTCTAGTTAACAAGAAATTATCAAAGTCTAAAGTTTGAGTGTAATTTTATATACCCAAAACTTTTTTAAATTTGTTTTTACTATTATATCGTATAGCTCTATCATTTAAGAATGTAAAATCATCAAAATGGCATCAGCAACACAAATTTTGTCCCAAACGTTTATGAGATGGAAAAAATGCTGGTTGGTCCCATAGTGCGTCGTCCTCCCTCAACCAACACATGTACAACTTTTCTCCGAAAAGAGGGAGTACATTACTTTAACAAGAAGCTTTTTGGTCACAATCCCGTACAACTGTAAGATGCAAACAGACGAGTTCACAATAGCGAATGTTAATAATCGAATAAAAGCACAACTAGTGAAGATAACTAACATTTAAATGAAATACAACGAACCAGCATCTCAGGGTCTCAACAGTAACTCAATCAACTTAACGAAACTACATCAGTTAAGAGTGAAAGTTAACCAGCAAGATATTATAGAAGGAGAGAATTCATCAAGCTTATATCACACATCGATTCCGCTCTACACGTTCCTGATGAGCGCTATTATTCTTATTATCGTTATCCTCATATGACGAAAATTCCAGACACCAATTCCAGAAGCAAATACTAATAAGCAACATACCTTTGAAGATGTAGAATCATCGCAAAAACCTAAGGAGATGCCAGCAACATCATTTCTTAATATTCTGAAATAGTTGCTGATCTGACGAGGGAGGTGTTATAAATTGCGCCGCTACGTGATTCGCTGACGCGCTGTTTTAAACAGTTGATCGTGCTGATCGACCTGATTTTGCAACAAACACGTAAACACCGAGTCTGCAACACGTGCTGCGTGGATGTTGCCACTGGCCAACGTGACTGATGTGGAACTACACTTTCTATCTAGAATCGATCAAGTCAAGTTTTAATTATAATTACTGTTGGCCAATGTTTATTATTAAATATAATTTTATTTCCGCTATTATTTTTATGGTACGTTACTTCTAAATCTGTGATCATTTAATTAAAGCATGTATGTATGTTTAAGCACGAATATTTTAATTAGATACTAGAGATTTTCCCGTATAGATTATAATTATTATAACCTATGACATGCGCGTATGATTTTAAGATAAGTCCGTTCCGAACCCTATTTAATGCAAACAAATATTTTCTATTCATACTGTTAGTAAAGACAGATTCTTGATATACTATAAATCCAGAACATATCCTAGGTTTTTATAGTCATATGCTTTGCTATAGAAATTCTTATATTACAAACGTTTGTGTTAAAAGTTAATAAAATATGTCACTTTTTCAGTAACTCTTATTAAAAAAAAACATTATTATTACTGAGATCAGGTTTTAACCTGATCTGTCCTTGCTTTTTAAAATTTAAATCATATTATTTTAAGTTCATTCATTAGGTAAATATATAAATATAGACGTTTTATCACATAAAGCTCATTTGGGTGTCATATTAGTTATTATTTAATAATGCGGCGTTTGAAACAAGTTATACTTATTATATTTGATCAATGTTGCATTCACAATGCTATTCTAAAAATATTCTTAATGAAAAGTTACAGTTAATATTTTTTGTATAGTTTATATAAAATATTTACCATCAGATAGTTTGATTGCAGATATACTGACGCAACCTCTCTGTTCACAGAAACATACATATTAACTTTGCAAAAGATTCAAACTTACGGTCGGTTTGCTAATTATTTCTTTTTATGTTTAAAATTTGACAAGTCTTACATATTGTTAATTATAATGATTGTATTGCAGTGCGTGTGATTATTATTTAATGTTATTTTATGTTTATTATTAATGTTATTCTATCTAATTGATTATGAAAAATTGTCGAGTCTTGTAATTATAGAGTCAATTTTGTAGAGTTTTTCGTGGCTCTTATTTTAATTTATTATGCTATGTAAAGTGTAATGAGCAGTGTTAAAATGTATTTAATGGTATACCCTTTACATAAACCTGTTGTCTATGATATTTTCTATTTAATATAAAAAGCGTTGTCTATTGCTTTTTTCTTTCTGTTTTGGCGTCTTACCATGGTATCGTATTTTTTTTTGTTCGACTCATGATTATTTAAACCGAAGTCTTCTATTAAGAAATAGTGAGTGTATTTCAAGTAAAATTCAACAATTGGACTGAAGCTCTCCGAGTGTTTATTTACCTATCCCATCCATACCCATCTACCAAACGTGCTGCTCAAAACGATAAAGACTGTCGCTATCTTTGCATCAAGATTTAACTGTAACAGCTAAAAAAATAATTCGAACTGGTTGTTGTTTAAGTAAATAACCAAAAAACGATAGTATTGATTTGCTGATATTACGTTCAAATCGCGCATAAGACACAAGATATGAACAAAGCAAGATTTACATGAAATAAATGAAGCGTATTTTTTTCTATATTTTTTATTTCTATTAATCAAAGTAATCATCCATGCAATCAATGCGTCTTTGCCAACGCATTGGTAAATTAGCTGGAGAAATCAGCGGGAGGCAACAAATTCTTCAAATTTTGTACTGCCTCTCGGGCATTGAATTTTTTTCCCACCAAGAAGTTATCCAAATTCTGGAAAAAGTAGAAGTCTATAGGCGTCCAATTTCAAGGCCAATTTAACCACTCGCGTTAGACCTCCAAACAGTGACCATCACTTTTCTAGGGGTTAGTTTTCGTTGAGGGCATTGTTTGGGTGCTGAACCAGGGTCTAACTAACTTTCTGAGCGCTTACGATTATCGAAGAGAATCCATTTCTCGTCATAAGTAACAATGCGGTTTAGAATTCCTTCATTTTTATGCATGTTCAGCAGTGTAAGGCACGTCTCGACGCGTACTTCGCGCTAGCGATCATTGAGTTGGGATACCCATTTGTCAAGCTTTTTTACCTTGCCAATTTGACGCAAATGGACTAATATTGTTTTGATGCTAATGGCGTAACCTGCTGCTAATTCAGCCGTAGATTGAGTTTCATGAATGAAATATTCTTTATTGTACATACACCATACAGTCAAAAAATGTACAGTTGTAATCTAACAATCGTCGGCCTTGTCGCTTAGACGCGATCTCTTCCAGACAACCGTTACAGAAAGGAAAAAAATAAATTATAATTGGGTAGGCTATAGCGTCTAAAAGAATCTTTATTACCTACAATATGATACTTACAAATTCACATCATCACCAGCCCTTTTACGTCCCCACTGCAGGGGCTCAGGCCTTCCTTATGGATGGTTAAGGAGGACTTACAAATTACAAAATATTTAAATAATAATACATATAATGGATCACATTATATCAAAACTAATATTAATATATACAAAGATGAAAAAGCAAACGGTGTTCATAATAATAATAATAATAATAATTTATTTGCGTTTGAATAGGGTATACAAAAGAGATGTAAAAGGTAATACAATTATCGCCTATTCAGCCATTAACAATAGCATGCAAATGTAGTAAAAGAAGATACTATAAGCACTGATTAATCCACCCAGGATACCATTCAGTTTCTATAGTCTAAGAACTCATGCAACGAATAAAAGGAACGCTCAGCAAGCCAGTTATATAACTCTCTCTGAAATCTAGTAGTAAAAGGTGTATTTTTTATAGATTCCGGAATCTTATTAAATATTGTCTGACACATACAGTAGTAGTTATTTTTAAATCGCGCGCTTTTTGGGACTATGTCAAAAACTAGCCTATTTTTATTTCTAGTGTTCCTGGGATACACTTCATGAGCTATTTTGTAATAATCATGGTATCGTTTGGCAAATTTCGCTGCTTCAAATAAATATAAGCAAGGAAGAGGTAGAATACCAAGAAATTTAAACCATTGCTTACATGAGACGTCGGGAGCGATACCACATATGGATCTTATGCATTTTATTTTGGGCAATAAATACCTTTTGCGCATCTGTATCATTGCCCCAAATAATAATTGCATAACGTAAAATTGACCCCACATAAGCGAAGTATGCTGTGAGAGCCGTACTTCTTGTCGCTACTCTCGATAATTTAAATAATGCAAATGAGAAGCTATTTATCTTATTACAAACGATTTCAGCATGTTGTTTCCAATCTAGTTTCTTGTCAATAGTTATGCCTAAGAATCTAACGTTATAAGCTTCTTCAAGCGTGCATTTTTGGTATTAATAATTAAGTTATTAGAAATTAAATTATTAAAATTCATAAAATATGTCTTGTCTATATTTATTGTCAGATTATGGAATTTAAGGCAGTTTATTATGGTCATTATTGTATTATTTATGTCGTTTTCGTGGTCAGAAATTTTCATATTATTATTATTCATCACTACCACTGATATATCATCAGCAAATAAAATACTTTTATGTGTAGTTACATTTGGTAGGTCGTTAATATACACCAAAAATAAAAGAGGTCCAAGAACACTGCCTTGTGGAACTCCGATGTTTTTTACTTTTAATTCAGATTGATACTTTCGATTTATGCCCTTTGAATATAATTTAGTTATTTTAACAGATTGCATTCTATTTTGTAAATATGTTTTAATCCAATTTAAAGCTGTACCTCTGATACCATTGTTATATATTTTTTTTAGTAGTTGTTCATGAGAAACGAAATCGAATGCCTTTGACATATTAAAGAAAAGAGCTGTTGTATATTTGCTTTTGTTAATACTTTGTAATATGTCGTTAATTAAGTCAAAGGCGGCAAGTTTAGTCGACTTATTTCTTTGAAAACCATGTTGAGTATTTTTTAGCACATTTTATTTATTAAAAAACGATGTTAGTTTATTATGTATAACTTTTTCATATATCTTTGATAAAACTGGTATCAGTGTAATGGGCCGATAATTTTTAAACTAGTTTTATCACCTTTCTTATATAAAGGTTTGACAATAGAGCGTTTTAATTTATTAGGACATATTCCCATTTCCATTGACAAATTTATCAAAAATGATAAAATAGGGCTCATTTGTTCTTTACATATATTTATCACATATGTACATATATTATCATAGCCTTCAGATTTTGTATTATTTAATGTCATTATAACTTTTTCAACATAGCATTTGTCAATGGGAGTAAGAACGATTGAATTATTTAATATGTCATTTGAGTATTTAATTGTATTATTAATGTCATAATTATTATTAACAAAATTATTGATTAAATTTATAAAATAATTATTAATAATGTCTGAAATATTTGAAGGATCATTAATAATA